CCGATTTAGCGTCGGCTAGCGTCGGACAGAGTCGATTGAGCGTTGACTAGCGTCGTTCGGAAGGGGCTCGATGTACAGTATACATCGTAGAAGAGAACAACGCCATTAAAATTCACTTTTGGCGCTTCGCGCGGATTTCTCAGATCCGCGCTGGGCCCCCCCAGCGGTGCCTCCGGCGCCGCCCCCGGCGCTCCTCGCGCCAGTGAGGGGGGTCCAGCGCACATCCAAGAAATCTGCGCGGACCGTCGAATATTTATGTAGATGTATTTGTTCGTGCTCTGTCCAATCTAGGTAGCTCGGAGGGCTCGATGCATATACCACGTCGTTTGGTGTATGGGTGTTCCAGCAGCTCATAGATGGGGAAGCTGGGGCTTATGATTGCCCAGCTTCTTTGCCGACCAGATGGTCCTGTGTATACAATCAACCCGCATATCAAGGAAGGGCAACCTTCCCAAAGTTACCCTTGCATTCTGGCGCCTTCGGCCCATCCGTAGCGACTTTCCCTGGCCAGCCGCGTTCGAAAAGCGTTAAAGTGGGCCTCCGAGGCCCTGGCATCCCTAACGCGCCTCCTTCTGAGGCGGGCCGACTGCATACTTTCGAGCCCCTCCTAGGCGCGGAGCCTCTCCGCGGCCACGGCCGCAGTGACCCGCAGAGCCCTCCTCCTCCTCTTCCTTCTCCTCCTCCTCCGCCTCCTCCGCCTCCCCTCCTCCTCCTCCTCCTCCTCCTCCTCCTCCTCCTCCTATTCCTCCTCCTCGTCGTTCAACTCCTCGTCGTCGTCGTCCTCCGCTCCGCGCCCCGCGCTCCCCGCGGCAGCGCGCACCGCGCGGGCCTCCATCGCGCCGCGTGCGCGTGGGCGCCCCCGCTCGCGCTCGGTGCCCCCGCTCGCGCGGCCGAGGTCCGCGCGGGCGAGATCCCCAGCTCGGGCCCGGGCGCCTCGCAGATGGAGCGCGCCTTGCCCCGCCTCCATCAGTCGGGCACGTCCCTCTACGGAGGGGCGCCTTCAAAAAAACAGTCAGAGAACATCATCTGGGGACGATGTTGGGTCATTTTCGCATTTTCTATACCTTTTGAAAGACTTCCCTTCCAGAATCCGCCTGTAGGAGGACATGCCCGTTCTGAGCCTCGCCGTCGGCGCCTGCGCCGTCGCCGTCTAGTCGTCGTCCTCGTCGTGCGCCGCCTTCGGTCGGCGCCGTCGTCGTCATTGTCGTCGTGCTGTGCCGTGGCCAGCGCCTTCGCCGCCGTCGCCGTCTACAGCGTCGCTGTCGTCTTTGGCGCCAGCGTTGTCGTCGTTCGCGTCTGTGCTATCGTTTTCCCGCCGCCTCCGCTGCCGGCCTCGGCGTCGCCGTGGGAGCTGGTTGCCAGCGTCAGGTCCGCTCGTTGGCATCGCCGCGTCCGCCGCCGCATTCGCGCCCTCCGGCAGAGGTTGTCGCCGTCGTCGTTGTCCCGCGGGAGTCTTGCGGCGTCGGCGTCGGCCGCTTCGCGTCGGGGCCGTTGCAGGGAGGAGGGGGAGAAGGAGGAGGAGGAGGAGGAGGAGGAGGAGGAGGAGGAGGAGGAGGGAGGAGGAGGAGAGGAGAGGAGGAGGAGGAGGAGGCGGAGGAGGAGGCGGAGGCGGAGGCGGAGGGCGAGGGCGAGGGTCACCGTGAGTCTAGTGCAGCAAGCGGCCCCAGAGGGAGGCGGGCCCTCGCCGGGGAAGAGTCTCTGGCGGAGCTCCGGGCGGACTTCCTGCTCGGGTCCGCGCGGGCGGCGCCTCTGGCGCCGCCTCTGGCGCGCTCAGGGGGGGCCACACACGAACCCTACCCCTACCCCCCACGATTTCTGCGGGGGAGGGCGGGGTTCACTTCGCTCAGGAGCTCCCGAGCGAAGTGAACCCCACCCTCCCCCTCAGAAGTCGTTGGGGGTAGGGGCAGGGTTCGTGTGTGGCCCCCTAGCGCTCCCCTGCGCCGGGGCCGGGCGGGGGGCCAGCGCAGATCCAAGAACTCCTCGCGGACCTCTGGAAGCTTGCGTTGATCACCGCCCACCAGGCCACCCAAGCCCAACCCGAAGGCCCCGATGTGGCCTCCATGTCCAGTGGGGGGTGGTCCCGAGAACACGAAATAGAACCTACATGAGGCCCGTACCACCCCCCGAGCCCGAGATCCGGGTCGTCGGGTTGGGTTGGGGTGGTCTGGTAGGTAGTCAGTTTATGTTGAGGTAACGTATCGCACGTAGGAGTGTAGAGGCATGCTTGGCCGATGGCCCAATGGCGGATGTAATGAAGGATGCCTGTGGGTTAGGTCTCTGGCGCGTCGTCGTCGCCGCCGCCGCCATCGTCGCCGTCGTCGTCGTTGTCTCCGTACTCTTGCTCGTCAGCATCGTCGTCGTCGTACTCATACTCGTACTCGTACTCGTCACCATCGTCGTCGTCGTCGTCGCCGCCGCTGTCGTCGTCGTCGTCGTCGTCTTGCGTTTGTGTTGTTGTTGTTGTGGTATCTCTTGCTGTTGCGGGTTTTCCTGTGCCCTGTCTCCCTAATGAAAGCTGTGCGTAGCCTGCCTAGCGTTTAGCGGAAGAGGTTCGCTCTCGCCCCGCAGATAAAACAAAATTGTTGTTGTAGGTGTTCTTGGGCCCTCCACAGGGGGCCACGGGGCCGTCCGAGAAAGGGCGGCTCGGAGCGAGGAGTTGTGGGGCCGGGGGGGGCCAGGATCCGGGGCTTCGGTATCGCTCGGACGTGTGCACTTTTTTTTCTCGGCGAGGGCCATCGAGGAACATCCTGGATCATCTGGCAACAAGAAGCACGCAAGAATCCGGCAAATGCACGGGGAATGGGCTTCCGAGCGATGGCAACCGTTGCCCTTGGGACCCGCCTTCCCTCCCCTTCCAGGGACGCCGAGGGATAACCAGCTTGGAGCATATCCTTATCCCTAGGTTTGGCATCGCCTGGTCTCGAGGTCAATCGCCAGGATCCCCTCAGTTTCTGAGGGCGCATCCATCCCTAGGATTGCCATCGCCGTTTGGCGTGTCAATCCTGGGGATATGGAAAACTTCGAGGCTGTTTAAGGGAGGAGGAGGGCGAGGAGGCCAAAGGACGCCAGGACTGGCGGGGCTAGGGAGGTGCTGGTGGGCGGAGGATGAGGGGAGGGAGGACGAGGGGAAGGAGGAAGAGGATGGGGACGAGGACGTGGGCGTTCAAGTTTGACTGCCGCCAGTGGCCCAGAACCGGCCAATTTTGGAACGATCTGGCGATTGAAAAGTTGCCAATCGCTCGAGGATGAACGATCCACGCGGTATCAGAAACCAACACGACGTGTCGTCACGACACGAATTGGCCGTACCCGCCCTCTCCGACATGCGCGTGACGCTTTTTGTCTGCCCACACGGCTGCCTCGCAGTTTGGTGTTCTCGTCTCCACATCCCCGGGCAACACCCTGGATTGAGGGTGACATCCTCGCCTCCTCTCGGGCCGCTGGCCACACCCCCGATTTGGAGAAATGTGCGCTCGTTCGCCCCCCGGTGGTTGTGGCAACATCCTCCGCAGGGGGAGAGTCCTATGCCCTCGCTTCGGGGCCAGTCGCGTCCTTCATCGGGGGTGGTGCGCGAGGGGTCGCTCGAAGAAGGAAAAGCGCCGTAAACATAAACTTTTGGCGCTCCGCGCGGATTTCTTGGATCTGCACTGGACCCCCCCTGGCGGCGCCTCCGGCGCCTCCCCTGGCGCGGATTCAAGAAATGGCGCGGAGCGCCAAAAGTTTATGCTCATGCCGTTCTTATTTTTTTCTAGCGAGATATCGTCTCCTCCGTGTTCCAGTGCCTCCATCCTCGGGAGGCTTCGTACAGTCAACCCGCATACTAAGGATGGGCAGCTTCTTTCCCAAGGGTACCCTTGCATCCCTGCCGCCGCGGTCCATCCTTCGCCGCTTGCGTGGGCCACGCCCCGCTCGCAATGCTTCGAGGTGGGCGTCCAGAGGCCCTTGCATCCTTGTCGCGCATCCTCACGCTACGGGGCGGCTGTAGGCTCAGGACGAGGGCAGATGGATGCAGAGCGTGGCGGCACGCTCGCAGAGAGGGCCTCGGACGCTCTGGAACCGGCCGCGGCGCCCGAGGCAGCCTGCAGAGCCGCCGGCTCGCGGAGCTCCCCCGTGCAGCTCGGAGGAGCAAGGGGGTCATGCCCATGAGCATGTTATCCGGTGGAGATTCGATGGAGCCTGGCATGCCCTCTCAATTCAGTCTTGAGCGTCGACTAGCGTCGATTCGCGTCTGGGAGTCGATGGGGATCGCCCGATCTAGCGTCGACCAGCGTCGATTCAGCGTCGATTGGCGTCGATCCAGCGTCGGCCAGCGCCGTTTCGCAAGAGCCGACAAGATGGTACGGGAGGCTCCCGTGAGTTGCCACTGAGCATGATGCTTCGAAGATTTCGCTCATTCCTGATGCTTCACACAGGCTGCAGAAACAAGGGCCTCTGGCTAATCAGGGACGTATCCTGAGCAGATCGCATCTTGACATCGCTCTCGTTCTGCTACCCTCCCAGGGCTCCTTTCGACGCCTCCAATTCGATCTGGCTCGATGTCGATGGCCTCCGATTCCGATTCGGTTGGACTTCGGAGTCCGATCTGGATTCCGATGTTTCATTTGACATATTTAAACATGTGTATATATATATATATATATGTTTATATTTATTCACTGGCTCGCACAGTTTCTGGCGATCCAAATTCTCCCGAATCGGTTGCCGATTTTCGTCGATCTGATTCGTGTCGATCGTCGATCCGACTGTTCGATTCGATTCTCGGCTTTCCTGCCCTCCTCGTGATTCGTCGTTGGCCTGCCTTCGTCTCAGGTGTCGATCTAAACAGTGGTTGGGGGATTTCGTGGGCTGGTTCCGTTTCGGCTTCGCTTTGCAGCAGAGGCGGCGGATCGAAGACAGAACGAGGGAAAACGGGCATACGAAAGTAAAACGAAAGACACTGGTTAGATCGATCCCTGCCTCGTCTCGCCAGAGACCCCCAGGAGCTGGCGTTCATAGACGCCATGTGGTCGGACCCGCAGGAGGAGAACGGCGTGCGGCAGAACCCGCGCGGGCCCGCACCCTGGCCTGCCCCGCGTGCGTGTTTGTGTTTGCGAGTGTGTGTGTGTGTGTGTGAATGTGTGTCTTGGCATCGCTATGGAGAACGTTCGGTTGCAATTAGCACCTCCATCTGCTGCCCGCGCCTGAGGACCTGCGCCGCCCACTTGGCAAGTGTGGCTTGGCATCGCTCGGACGTGTGCGGTTTTCGGCGGGGACCATCGAGGCGCATCCTGGGGCGTCTTGCAATGAAAGCACGCGCGACACCGGAACAAGCGCGGGGAATGGACGTCCGAGCGATGGCACGGTGTGTGTGTGTGTGTGTGCGCGTGTGTCGTGTGTGTGTGCACGTGTGTTCGTGTGTGTGCACTTGTGTTCGTGTGTGTGTGTCGTGTGTGTGTGTGTGTGTTCGTGTTCGTGTGTGTGTGTGTGTCGTGTGTGTGTGTGTGTCGTGTGTGTGTGTGTCGTGTGTGTGTGTGTGTGTGTGTGTGTGTGTGTGTGTGTGTGTTCGTGTGTCGTGTGTGTGTGTGTGTGTTCGTGTGTGTGTCGTGTGTGTGTGTGTCGTGTGTGTGTGTGTGTCGTGTGTGTGTGCGCGTGTTCGTGTGTGTGTGTGTGTGTTCGTGTGCGTGTTTCTGCGTGTGTCTGTGCGTCTGTGTGCGGTTGCGCCCCCCCGCCCGCCCGGGGCAGGGCGGGCGCGGCACCTCTGCCTCCCCGGCCCGCGGGCCCCGCCGCGCGGCACGATCCGGAAGCCCCGACATAGGGGCCTCCGGAGCGTGCCGCGCGGCCGCTGGAGGCCAGCGCGCCTGGCCGATGCCTCGCGGTCGGGGCGCTGGCTAAGGAACCCTGTGCGTTGGGGAGGGGCTCGGCGTTCCTTGATTGTTTCTCGAAGTTTGCCTCGGGTTTTCTCGAGGCTTCCATGGGAAATCGGAGTTCAACTTATGGGAGAAAGGGGCCCCGTTCCTCATTTAGGGATCCTTAGGTCAACGCCCCGACTGTACGGTCGGGGCGCTGACTAAGGAACCCTGTGCGTTGGGGAGGGGCTCGGTGTTCCTTGATTGTTTCTAGAAGTTTGCCTCGGGTTCTCCTGAGACTTCCATGGGGAATCGAAGTCTAACCCACGGGAGATAGGGGCCTCGCTCCTTCTTTGGGGTTCCTTGGGTCAACGCCCCGACGGTACGTCCTCCCTGGTATCGCTCGGACGTGTGCGTTTTTCCTCGGCGAGAACCATCGAGAAGCAGCCCGGACCATCGAGCAACAGAAAGCACGCGCGAAATCGAAAATTGCGCGGGAAGTGGACGTCCGAGAGACGGCCAGCCTCGCTTCGCCAACACAGCAATCACCGGCGGCGAGCGAGGGGAGGCCTCAGAAAGAAGGCGGCGGGACTTCTCAGAAGCCCTCGCGCGCCTTCTGAGAGGTCGTCTGCGCCCTCGGGGGAAGCTCATGATCAGAAGACTTCTCCGAAGGCCGGGGGACTCTGGAGCCTCCTGAGAGGGCCTGCTCCTTCTCGTTTCCCCCCTCGCTCGCCGCCAACTCCTGGGCCTCGTCGAGGCCACTCTCTGGCAGCGCGGGGGCCCCAGGCGGGGCCCCTCACGGGGTCGAGATCGAGGCGGACTTGGCCGAGTCCCCCTCCTGGAGGTCCGAGGGCCCCAGGGGAGGCAGGGGGTCCTCGACGACGTCGGCAGCCTCCTGGAGGCCCCCCCCCCCTCTTGGAAGCGCGGGGGTCTCCTCGCTCGCCCGCCGCCGAGCAGAAATCGCGGCGGAGGGTCTCTCCGTGGCCGGGCCGCGTCCTCTGGGGGGGCTCTTGCAGAGGCTCCGTCTTCCAGGCGGGGAAACAACACACGGGCACACTGAATCGCCGATTCCCCAGAACATGTGGGAAAATATGGAGGAGGGTGGGGGGGGGGGAAGGCAAAAACCCAGAAGATATGGGAAAATATGGGGAGTCCCGTCATTCGTGTCCATGTCTTTGTGTGTCTCAGTGCCCCTGCAGTCTCGGGGGCAGGAGGCCTCCCACAAGCTGCGGAGCGCAAGCCCGCCCCTCCTGGGGGCAGGGGGCCGCCCCTCGTCAGCACGCGCTCTCGGCGGGTCTCCCCCAGCGTGAAGTCGGACACGCCCCTCGACAGGAGGAACATCCAGGCATACTCAGAGAATAGTCTGGGGACGAAGTGCCTACAATTTTTGTTGGCCAGTTGTGCATATGGTTTGACAGTGTTTCATCTGTCCGTTCAAGATCCGCCTGTAGGAGGACATGCCCGACCTGACCCCAGCAGCCCCTCCTCCGGTTCCCCCTCAGCCACGCGTTGCGGGGGGGGTGTATGTGAGGGAGGAAGGCTTCTTAGAAGTACCCCTGCTTCTTAGGAAGGCGTGTGCCTCTTCTGTCGATGTAGGTCCAGCGCTGTCTGGGAGGCAGTCTCCTTCGCGAAGATGTTTTGCCCCCTCCCCCTACCCCCTTGTGCGCGCCGCCAAGGTTTTGTTCGCTATGTTTTGCCTCCCAGAGCCCCTTTCGCCCCTGGGGACCTCAGGGTGAACAGACGGTCTCAGGGAACGGGCCGACACCTCCAGGGGGTCCGCGCGTTGAAAAAGCAGCACGTCGTCGGGGTTCTGGGTTTGGAATTCGCCCCAAAGTTAAAGTTTTTGATACAACGAACGGCAGTTCGAAAGTTGCCCCGGCCTCCTTCTGCGTGTGATCTCGATCTGAGTTAATTTCGGACCTGGTCTTTAGCCGTGTGAATGTTCACCCGCAGGGCTGGCCGTCTACACGGGGAAGGTACCATCATGATCCGCTCGGATTTCTTGGATCGGCGTTGGTGGACGCCGATCCAATGCATCAACGCGAGCCTTCGAAAACTCGATTATGATCATGTGTTATAGTTGTTCTCCGTCCCATGTGAGCGGTGAACAAGGCCCGTCTTCTGTTGCTGCTCTTGGCTTCCGGGGGCCCTCCGCGCGCCGCAGGTTTTTCAGAAAAGCATTCAGGACGCTGAGTTGTTCGACGTTGCACGGGCGATGCATCGGCCATTCAACATCGATGCATCCTCTAGCTGTGTCGTCAAAGGGCCATCAGCATAAAAGTTTTCGCGCTCCGCGCGGATTTCTTGGATCTGCGCTGGTCCCCACTACTTGGCGCGCGGAGCGCGCCAGGGTCGGCGCCAGAGGCGCCGTCAGGGAGGGGCCCAGCGCGGATCCAAGAAGTCCTCGCGGAGCGCCATAAGTTTATCTTTATGGCGTTATTTCTCATTCGACTACGCTGGAGGCCCATGCCAAGAAACACCCTGCCTGCCTCCAGGGTGCCCTGGGTTGCTTGGGTATGGATCGCCTTTTGCTATGGAAGGCGCGACATCCCCGTCCCAAAAAAATCCATGGACGCCCTGGGGGGGTGTAGGGTTGGGTTTCCTGTGGAAGGCTTTCTTGTGGACTGGCCTCCACTCGGAGCGTGAATTACCTACCCCGCTTCCGCTTCCAGGCACAACCAAGTCATACCATGCGCCTCCCCGTCAAGCGGCCTGACCAGTACAGGTCGTAGCTTGGCATCGCTTGGTATCTCTTGGAAGCGAGGGTGGTCAAAAGCGAGGTAGGTTTGTTTGCCCCCTATCCACTGCATGTCCCCCCCCGCCCCTTCCGCGGTGCTCCTCGCCCAGGGCCCAGCCCCGCTCCTCTGGGGGCCCGCCGGCGCAGACCGTGCCAGCATGACCCCCCCCCCTCCTGGGGGTGGCGCCAGGGGCCGCCCCGGCCCCGGGGCGCCTTCGGGAGTTCGGGGGCGAGGAGGAGGAGGAGGAGGAGAAGGAGGAGGAGGAGGAGGAGGAGGAGGAGGAGGAGGAGGAGGAGCTCGCGCGCAGGCTGGGGCCCCCCTGCGGTCGACCCGCTGGGCCTCGTGGGGCAGGCGGTGGCGCAGCGTCCTGGCCTGCCTGCAAGGGGCCCACCCAAGGACTGTTCTCAGATTTTTTGTTGGGGGGGGGTCTGCACTTTTTTTTTACCTGCAAGAAAGGGGCCCTGTGGCGGGAGGGGGAGCAACGACGACGAGGGGACGACACGACGGAGGGCGCGGCGAGGGGGGGGGGGGCGAAAAGCCGAGAGGGGAGGCGCGCGCCAGGCGCGCTCTGGGCCCTCAGGGGGGTCCGAGGCCCCGCGGGGGCGGCCGCGCGCCGCGGCCCCGCGTAGCCGCCGCCGCGGCGGGCCGGTTAGCCGCCGCCCAAGCCCAAGCGGGCCGCCTCGTCCACGGCCACCCGGGCCACGTCCCGCCGGAAGGCGGCGTCGCTGAGTCTGTCCAGCGCCGCCTCCAGCAGGGGGGTCTGCACGAACTTAGTGGGACCTGGAAACGCAGGGCCGTTTTTGTCACCGGTTCCGTGGTGCTGTTTTTGTTGCCGGTTCCGACGCCGTTTGTTTACCAGCCACCGTGGTTTCACCGGTTCCGGCTCTGGTTCCAATCCTGAAGCCGTTTTGTTGCCGTTTCCTGTCGCCGTCGTTTGTTGTCCGTCTCCATTGACAAGAGACTTGTTTTCTGAAATTGTACAAAAACGGCCCTGCCGCTTCAGGGGCCCACTTAGTGCACGAAGTGCTCTTAGACCATTTCTGTCTGAGATTGTCTTGTTTTAGCGCATCGGCTATATGTTCTAAAAACGTGTCTCTTCTTGTTGAACATTCCTTGGTCGTCAAAACATGTCGTGATAGGCATCTAGGCATGCCCGGACGGTCGGTCCCTGCTCAAGTGATGGGAAGTTCTGGGGCCTCCCGGGAAGTGCAGGGGAAGTCCACGGGAAGTCCATGGGACACGTTTGGGTCAGGTGCACCTCTTTGGCAACGCCTGACGTCTCTCGAGGATCAACAATCGACATGCGCAGAAACTGGTTAGGTCAGAGCCCCGAATTATCAGGGCTGGGGGTCATCAGGGGTACTTACAAACTACGTACAGGTCCGCGCCTCAGGGGCTCAAACCGAAGTTATTCTGGACCGCAGTTGTCCCGTAGAATTCGGGCGTCTGACCCTCCCGAATCATCAGGGCTGGGGGCGACCAGGGGTATCTACAATTCCGCGCCTCGGTGGCCTCAACTGGATTTACCTGCGGGCAATACTTACATCCATATCCAGTGCGTCTTGGACTTTCTCTGAAGGGGCGCCGCTAGGCCGAGGCGCTTTGCATATGGATAAAAAAAATCGAGCCTCTGGGGGCCAGACTCTTATCCACAGCCAGTGCGCCTCGGGTTTCTGGGGGTGAGAGCCCGAGACTCCAAGCTGCGGTGTGTATTGACACGAGTCGTGCTACCCCAGACCGCAGTTCTCCCGGATCACTCAGGCCGGCGGCCTGCGCGGACCGCCCTCTACACGTAAGAGTGACCCTTGGCCAGAGTGACCCTTAGTGTTGGCCCCAATTGGGTCGGACAGATTTTCTTGAGGAGTGCGCTCGGCCTCGTGTCGGCGCAAGCTGCACCAGTCTGCGGTCGCATCAGAGCGCGCTTGATTCAGGGTGCGCCCCTCGCAATCGATCGCAACGCGTGCACGGTGTATTCTGCCGCGTGCTTCGTTTGGCGAGGGGGGGCCCAGTCGAGCGGGCGACGTGCTCTCCGCTTTGGGACTGGTCCCAAATCGTCCTGGAATAACTGTGACTATCTTTGACTAACTTTGACTAACTTTTCGCATTCCGCGCTTTACAACTCAATTCTTTACTATTGAAAGTTATTTACGGCCGCGGGGGGGCCAAATTTCGGCCTGGTTTCGGCTTTGACGCCGGACCTGGTCAGACGTCATCGCGATGCGGCCCGGCAGTGCCAGAACATTCCGCGGTGACGCCCGATTGCGTCTGGTTTCGCAGAGCCCTCGGCCGGGTCCGCAATTGCCTGCTGGCGCTAGGGATCAATCGAAGCGCGCCCCACCGATCGTTGATGCAATCCGACGGCCTCGGCTCGCGCGGTTGCTCGAGGCCCCCGCGGGCCCCCTTCTTAAGGTCGCGCACCACAGTGCACTTTTGCCTAGGGTCACTCTTACGTGTCGTCCGGCGGATTTCTCTTGGGTCTTTCAGGAGGGAAAAAACACACAGACACAATTATTCGTCGACTCCCCAGAAAATATGGGAAAATATGGGAAGTGGGGGGAATACAAAAACCCTGGAACTATCGGAAAATATAGGGAATATCTTTATTTGTGTGTATTTACTTGTGTGTCCCATGGCCCATTCATCTGGACCCCCCTCCGCACCTCTGCCGAGCGCGCGCGGAAAGAATGGGCGCAGTGCCCAACAGCAGATCTTGTGCATTTTGAACAGGACTCGCTGTCCGCGCTGCCGCGGCCCGTGCCTGTTTGAGACAGGAGGCCGCGTGCCCAACAGCGGCCGCTGTTGGTTTGGGACAACATTTGTTGCTGGGCATTGTACCTAATGTTTGCGTACCCGTTTCGGGCGTCCAAATGGAGGGGGGCGTGCAGCGCGAGACCCGCGCGGTTTTCTCCAGGGTCGGTCCTTCCTCGGAGGTGGCGGCCCCAGGGCCTCCATCGATAAAGAAGGCACACATAAACATAAACGTTTGGCGCTCCGCGCGGATTTCTCGGATCCGCGCTTGGCCTCCCCGGCGGCGCCTCCAACACCGCCCCTGGCGCGCTCCGCGCGCCAGGGAGGGGGGTCCAGCGCAGATCTGGGGGGCCCAGCGCGCCAAAAGTGTGTGTGTGTGTGTGTGTGTGTGTGTGTGTGTGTGTGTGTGTGTGTGTGTGTGTGATTGTGTGTGATTGTGTGTGGTTATGCAAGTTGTGCTTCTCCTATGCATCGGAGGTGTTGTCCTGTGGCGGCCCAAGGGCCTCCAAGACAGTGAAGACGGAGCGTTTCCGTCGTTTTCGGCCTCCAGCAGTCTTCGCCTGGCCCCAGGAGCGTCGAAGCATGACTCAGGGTGCAAGGCTGGTTCCCAGGAGCGGGTCGAAACTTCTGTTAAGTCGGGCCTGTCTCCCTACAGGGGGATTTTCGACGAAAAATAGAAATACCCCAACAACAGTCCAAAAATAGTCTGGGGACTATTTTCAGCATGTTTCGGCCTTTTTGGGGTATCTTTTGGGGTATTTTTATTTTTCGTCTAGAATCCCCTTGTAGAGGGACGCACCCGACATAAGACTTCTGGGGGCCCATGCCGCCCTGCCACTGGGTGCCTGGCTGCTTCCCGCCTCTTGCTGGACGAAAGCCAGGAGGGGAAAAAACACAGGCACAGTGAATCGTCGATTCCCCAGAAAATATGTGAAATTATGAGAAGTGGGGGGAAGACAGAAACCCAGAAAATATGTGAAAACATGGGGAATCCTGTTATTTGTGTTTATTGATTGAATCGCTTCGCTCATCCCGCCAGCCCTCGAGCGCTCTATGGGGCCTCTTTGAAGCCTCTTGGGGGCCTCTTTGGGGCTTCCTAGGGGCCTCTTGGGGGCCTCTTGGGGGTCTCTTGGGGCTCCTTGGCGGCGTCTTGGGGCCCTCTTGGACCTCTTGGGGGGCTCTTGGGGGCCTCTAGGGGCGGGGTAGTCGAGTGCACCCCCCTCGGAGGCCACGATCCTCGTGAGGGGTGTCGAACAAATGCCCGCAAAACCATCTCTGGGTAGACTTGGTCGGGCTGCGGTCGGGATACTTTTCGCCGGGGGACCCCCAGGGGCCGCCGCGCGCGCGCGAACTAGAAATATTGTTGACCAGTTACCGGAGATCTTAGCACGCCTCTGGCCCGTTGGGCCGGCGAATTTGTGTGCCCCAGGGCCCCTTCAGAAAGGGAAGAATGGACAGGGGGGGTACGAAGTCTGCCGCGTGCCGCCGGTCTCGGCCCCGCCGCGGGGGGGGGCCTTCCTCGGTTCGGGGGAGCGTAAGACCCGGGTTTGCCAGGACTCGGGTCCGCCATCGTTTTTTGACGACCGCGCCTCGGATTTTGACGAGGAGGAGTTTCGTGGGATGTCTGCAGCGGGAGGCCTCGTCAAAATGCAGGCTCGGCCTCGTCATTTTTTTGACGACCTCGTCGGGGATTTCCGAGTCCCCTGTACCCAGGTCTTACGTCCCCCTGATCGGTGCACTGGCGCATATCCCGCGCTGGGAGGCCGCCGGGCGCTCGGGCGCGTGAGCCGATTCGCCGACTCGCCGGCGACCCCCCCCCCCGTAGAGGCGGCCTTGATGAGCAGCTCCTGAGCAGGTCGACCCTGCCAGCTCAAGGGTACCCTTGTGTCCTGTGCCTCGCGACTTTTTTGGATTCGCGGGTCGAGAGTGAGCCTCTTCCGGTCAAAGCTAAGCGGGCCGCGCACAGTTTGAAATTGACAGAGGAAGGAACAAAGAAGGCGAGGCCTCACGTCAAGGCCAAGTGTGCCTCCCGACACGTGCCTTCTTACACTCCTACGGCGATGTGGCCCTCGGGAGGGTCTTGTGTTCTCCCGCGTGTCCTGTCCAATCAAGCCCTGCCCTGTTCGATTCCCCCCTTGGGTGCATTTACTGAGCGGCTTTACTCGTCGGGGTGCTCATTCTGGGGGTACTTTTTCTGCCCTCTACATCTTTCCCAGGAGGGAGCAACACACACAGAGAGACACAACTCAGTGCCGATTCCCATGAGCCATGGAAGAATATGACTGGTGGAGGGGAAGCCTTGGACTTGGAGAGCCATGCGGGGAATCGAGTCTTGCCCCCATTCGAGTCCTGGGCCCCATTCGAGTCCTGCCCCCCCCCCCCCCGCCTCGACCGAGACGCTCCGAGGCTTGGGCTTCCCCGCCCCCTCCACGGGCCCCTCGGGTGCGGCTCTCTCTCTTCCTGCGGCGTGCTCGGTCACGGGGCGCTCTCCTCGGCGGCTCCGCCCCACTCGTCGCTGCCTCCTCCGTCTCCTCCTCCTCTAGTTCACGCTGGCCAGGCTCTAGCTCGGTGGCTGAAGCGTTCCCATCTCCTCCTCCTCCTCCTCCGCCTCCTCCACATCCTCCATCTCCTACTCCTCCATCTCTTGCTGCTCCTGCTCCTGCTCCTGCTCTTGCTCCTCCTCCTCGAATATGTGTGTGTGTGCTCCTCTTGCTGATGTCTCTGCCGTGGCCGGCGAGCAGTTAGGCCAGCAGAGGCTTGCAGAGAGAAGTCCACCAGCCCTCATAGCAAGTCCAACTGCTGGGGCAGGACGTCCCAGAGAAAGCAGACAGCATCCCAACCCCTCCAAAGGAGAGATTAAGGTGCTGGACGAACTGCTCCCCCAGAGCAGTTTGTGCTGACAAATCCCGACAGCAACTATCTCCCCCTTCCCTCTCTCCGTCTTGCTCCTCCCCTAGCTGCTGGTTTCTGAGCCCGTGAGGCGGCGAAGGAGGTTGGGGCGGCCGCATCCCACCAGGAGACAGGAGAGGGGGAGGGCACCCGCATCGGCGGCTCCAACCAGGAGGGGCGAGGGGTGGGGGCACCCGCACAGGCGGCTCCCACCGGGAGGGAGGAAGCGGTGGGGGCACCCGCACAGGCGGATCCCACTAGGAGGTAAGGATCGACGCAGGGGGCATAGCCAAGGCTGAGGCTGAGGCAGAGGAAGTAGCGGCGGAGGAAGGCGAAAGCAAGGATCACGTAGAGGAGGGTCATGGCGAAAGCAAGGACGAGGCTGAGGTGGGTGAGGAGGACACTGACAGCGCTTGAAGGAGGGCGGAGAAGTCGGCGGTGGTGGAAGGGGGCTTTTGCCCCAGGTGACGCTGTTTTCTGAGAAGGCCAGTGCTGATTTCACTATGTCGTGCTGCTCTTCTGGGCCGCGGCATGTCCAGCGTTTTCCCAGCTTATTCGCGAATCGCCCTTTTTCGTCTGACCCGACCCTCGCCCAGGTCCGGCCTCGTCACCTTCGGGCCCGACTGGACCCACAGGTTCCTCGCCGACACTGGCATGTCGATCATCGTGCGGTCCCACCAGGCCGCCCCGGGGCTACTCTGGGCCAGAGTGTGCAGGAAGGGCGCTGATCGGGAGCTTTCAGACTTGGGTAACTGCACATGGGGGTCAGCCAGACCGCCGGATCTTGCAGGAGCTTGCAGAGCCAGGGGCGCACTGACCTAGTGTTGGGTGCAGGATCCTGTTGGATCCTGCAGGATCTTGCAGGACCTTGCAGAGCCTGACTGACCCGGGTCTGGATCCACCGGGGGTATCATATCCCCGAGCTGACTCCCAGGAGCTCCCTCCGAAAACGCAGTTCCTTCCTCCAGGGGCCGTTTGAAGCGGCTTTCTTTCAGGATGGGAAAAAACACACAGACACAATTAATCGTCGATCCCCAGGAATATGTGGGAAAATATGGGAAGTGGGCGGGAAGACGAAAACCCAGAACATGTGGGGAATCCTGTTGTCTGTGTGTATTTATTTGTGTGTCCCAGGGCCCCTTCATTCTTCTGACCCCAACTCCGCGCCTGGCCCACGTCTCCCTCCCCCCGATCCCAGGCCTCTCGCAACGGGGCCACGGGGTCGAAGGATTGCACCGCATCGCCGACAAGTTGGCGATAGGGGGGTCGGTGCGACTCCCGAGCTTCTCCACGCCGACGCATCGCCGACGCATTGCCGAGGCATCCGCGACGGCGGCGTGGTCCTCCGACCGCAGGTGCGCAGCCCCCCATTCGGGAGTCCTCGAGAGGAGGTTCAGATGAGGAGTGCTCTCTCAGGCGTCCGAACCTGGTGCCGAAAAGGCGTCGCCTTCGAACCGATTTGGCATAACTTCAGGATAATCCTACCCGATCCGACCTCGACACCCCGACCGACGTGGTCCCCTGCGCGCACGGCGTGGTTGCGCACCATGGCGCTGCCGATCCGATTCGATGCAGCATTTGTGCCGATGCAGCCCTTCTCCGACGCACATTTCGATTCGATCCGATGTCCAGGTTCGAAGTTGACCGATCTTTTGCTCGCCCCTCCTCGGTGGGCCCCGTCTTCTGCAGACCCGACTGGCAGCAGCAAAGCCCTTGGTTCGAAAAGTAAGCCTGCATAGGCTGCAGGCTTGGTTTTTCGAGCCAGCCTGCGGGCTGCAGGCCTGCAGCATGGCTGGTTGTTTCCCAGCCATGGCTGGTTCTACGCAGTACGCGCGTAAGTTGTTCTGGTGCTAGACCAGTATGGGGTTTTCCGTTTTCCTGACGCCTATTTATATAAATGGTTGGTAGTGCCATCGAGGATGCCCTCACAAAACATTTGCCCGACCATCCTGCGTCTTTGGTCTTCGGTTTGAATTTAAAGAAATGCAGGCCTGCAGCACCTCTTGCCCCCGGCAGGCGTGTGAGAAAGTAGCCAGCCGACGCAGCACTGGCTGCACTGCAGACTGCAGGGAGCCAGACTTCATGCCCCTCTGCAGGAGGGTTGTTCAAAGTAGGCTTCACACAGTCTGGGCACGATGCTTCGACTGTGCTTGGCTATTTCTGAGCATGTGTCTCCTATGCTTAAAGGTTTTCTTCCAAAATCCGCCTGTGGGGGGACACGCCCGACCTGGAGCCAGACCCCAGGGCTCCAGCCTGTGCCCCCTGTTGGCCCATCGTGCCGCCGGTTCCCTTTCGGGCCAGCCGCCCCCCAAAACGAGCGCGCGCGAACGATCGCACCAGTTTGACAACCACTGGACGACTGTGCTGCGCCAGTCGGAGGGCACCAACTATGCACCAACACCGATCCTGGCCCAGGATCATCCCGGGCCCAGGATCGGTGTAACTATGCCTTCTTGCGCAGGGCAGGAGGGCGTATACACCAATCCTGGGCCCAGGGTGCTCCTGGGCCAGGATCGGTGCTGGTGTATGGTTGGTACCTTCCTATAGCCAGGGCGAGAGCGTCGGTTGTTGAGGGCCCACCGACCTCCGCCCGCCAAGTTGTGGGGGGCCATGTGGGCTGCGAGCGCGCGCGGCGCCAGGCGGGCGCTCCGTGTCGGAGCGCCGCGGCCGCCCGACGTTCGAGGGCACGCCCGGTCGGGAGGTCTCCCGCGGGGGCGGCCCAGGCCTCCGCTGGTGAGGCGTGGAGGAGCATACAGGTCGGGGGTGGACAGAACCCCCAACAGTGACACGTCGATCAGTGAATTGTCCGTTTTCGGTTCTCGAGGGGGCGCCGTGGCCGTTAGTTTCCAGGCTTGCGCCCGCCAGGCTTGGGCCGCAGGTTGTTTTCACAAAGCCTCGTTTTACTAAAGGGGGGCCTGTCCATCCCCGAACAGGGCCTCGAGCTTCGGTCTGCGAGGGACGGTACGACATCGGTGGCACGCCGCTGGTGGAAGCCCGTCGGCGCATCGCCCCTCGAGGGCTGTCCGAAGGCCGGGCGTGTCTTTGTCGGCAACGCGCTGGTGGTCGCCCCGCGGCGGCGTGCCGAAGGCCGGGCGTGTCTTCAGCAGGTGGCGCGCTGGCTGTTTTTGCCCTACGGCGGCGTGCCGTTGCTGCTCTTCTGCCAACTCCAGGGGAGGAGGCAGGCATGCCTCGATCCGAGAGGGAGGGCAGTGTCCGCCTGCGCTTCTGCTTCGGGCGTGGAGGGGATGGTGCATCGGCGGAGCGAAGGAGGAGGAGGTGTCGACCTCAGGATCCGCGGCGGCAGGTCGCGGCAGCTGGGGGGCCGTCTTTTCGTTTGTTCTCCGTCACTCTCCTTGTCGCACTTCCTCTCCCTGTCTCCGTCTCTCTCGCTCTCGATCTCTCTTTCTTCTCACTCATACACACGCTCACTGACTCATTAGGTCTCCCTCTTTCTCTCTCTGCATCTGTCTCTGTCTCCCTTTCTCGTTCTCTCTTTGTCTCTCTCTCTCTCTCTCTTTCTATCTTTTTTTTTGTTCTCTCTCTCTCTCTCTTTCCCCGCCGAAAAAAACGCACGCCCTGGCCACAAGGGTTTGGTGTGCGCGGCTCTAGTAGCCGTGGCGCTCTGACATGGTGTCCGATTTTGTTGTTTGTGTTAATGTGTCTGCTTCATTTTTTTTTTTTCTCTCTCTCTCTCTCTTTCTCTCCCTCTCTTTTCAGTATGTCTGTTTGTTCGTCTGTCCGTGAACTGTTTGTTTGTTTTGGGTTGTCTGTCTGTCTGTCTCTCTCTCTCTCTCTCTCCCTCTCCTTGCTTGTCCCCTGCCTCTCTCGCTCTCTCTCTCTCTCTCTCGCTCTCTCTCTCTCTCGCCCTCTCTCCTCGCCTCTGCTCTTCCCCTCGCCCTGCGGTGCGTCCGGAGCCGGCTGCCTTCCCGGCACCCGGCGAGCTCGGACATCTCTTCACCGCCCGCCGCCCGCGCTGACAAAAGGGCCCCGCCGCACTCGGGCCGAACGAAAGGGGGGGAGTGGGAAAGGGGGGGTACGAAATCTGCTGCATGCAGCTGGTGTCGGCCCCACCGAGGGGCTCATTCCTCGATACATGGGCGCCTCCCGGCGCTTGGAGGCGCCAGGAAAATCAGCCACAGGAGCTGATTCGCAAACCCCCCCTTTGCTATCTCCCCCTTTCGCCCGACCCGCCGCGCGCAGGTGCCGCCGAACAACGACGGCTTCTACCAGCACCACGGCGGCCGCCTCCTGACCGTCTTCAGCGCCTCCAACTACTGCGGCGTCGCCGGCAACCAGGGCGCGGTGCCGGGGGCCCGGTGGCCCTCGCGACGGCCCGGGCCTCCCCGGTGGGGCCCGAGCATTAAGTCGGGCGCGTCCCCCTACAGGGGGATTTTCGACGAAAGATCAGAAATACCTACAAAAAGTACCCCAAGAAGGTCAACAAAAACATTCAAGAACTAGTCCCCAGACTATTTTTTGACCATTTTTGGATTATTTTTGGAGTGTTTTTTTTATTTTCCGTCGAAGGTCCCCCTGTAGTGGGACAGGCCCGACTTAACCTGAGCAGGTGGGGCCGCAGGAGCGCGCCGCATCGCCGATGGGCTCGACGCGGAGCCGTCGACGGCGCGGGTGCCATGTCGACGTTGCCGGTGCACTGCCGAAGCATCGGCGATGCATCGGCGCGAGTCTCCGACCCCATCTGAGCGGACCCCATGTGCGGAAACATGGAGCATATACATTGCCAGTGGCGGGCGGCTTTTCAGTCCCAGGATTTTTTTGAGGGTCGGGGACGGCGCCGGGGTGGTGTGGCGTATACTTGTTTCCCCGCGTTTTCCCGTGGAAGCAACGAAAAATGTATACACCAGGATCACGTATACACCAGGACCCGCTTTCTTGTGCGAATTTCAATGCGGGGCCGCAGAAAACGTCGGTGTATAGAGTCCAGTCCCTTACATGTCTCGAGAAAGCAAGCACTCTATGAACAGAAGCTTGAGGCGCTCCGCGCGGATGTCGTGAATCGGCGCCTGCGCCCCCCTGGCGGCGTCTCCGGCGCCGCCTCGGGCGCGCTCCGCGCGCCAGGGAGGGGGGTTCTAGCACAGATCCAAGAAAGCCGCGCGGACCTCCAGAAGTGTATGTTGAAGGCGTGCTTTCTTCATTTACAATTGGGCCCAAGTTGGAAGGCCTCTAGAGAAGGCATCAGAGGAGGGCCTTACTCTCGTCGTCACGGCTGGACGCCGCTGGGAGAGCTGGTGCGTTTTTGGGCCTGGGGGGGGTGTCCAAGAGCCGATTTCGGGTTGCCGATGTCTCAGTGTGCCCTTCTCCGAGTTGAGGGGGGTCGACATCCGTCGAAGAAGAAATACACGGCATACACATAAACTTGTGGCGCTCCGCGCGAAGCGCCAAAAGTTTCTGGTTATGGTGTGTCTTCTTATTAATGTTCTTTTATTTCGAGGGCCGAGAATTCTGAGCGTGTAGGGTGCTCTTTTGGGGCTCCTGGGGGCGCCCTCGTGGCCGCGGCTGTATTCCCTCTGAAGCTCTGGCCGCCTTCCTAGGACAGCGGTGTGGAAGCCGATCTCCTAGGAGGGCGGAAGGAGGATCGCCATGAAGAGACCATCAAGCAGTGGCGAAGCGTCCTGGCTCGTCGATAGCCCTACCAAACAATGTCCTAATCACATTGTGTGATTTCCACGAAATGCTCTTAGAACATTTCTGACTCGGACTGCCTTGTTTTAACACATCGAACTTATGTTCTAAGATCATTGCTGTTGTTCTTAGAACTTTTTGGGGTTCTAAGATCATTTCGTGGTAGGACTATAGGAATGCCGGGAAGGTCGGTCCCTACTCAAGACCAGGCCCTGACGTAAATCGCAGACGATAAAACGGCATACGAGAATTTGTGTGGCGCTCCGCGCGCGTTTCTTGGATTCGCGTTGGGCCCCCCCGGCGGCGCCTCCAGCGCCGCCCCTGGCGCGCGGAGCGCGCCAGGGAGGGGGGTCCAGCGCACATCCCAGAAATCCGCGCCGAGCGCCGAACATTCTCCCAGTAAAGGGGTCCTGAGGTCAGTCGCCTTTCTAAGACGCCTCCCACCCGTCCAGCACTCTGCGGGTCGGGTTAACTCCTTGTTTCTCCTCCTCCCCGTCGTCCCGCTCCTTCCCCTTTTCCCCGGGGGCAACGTGGCAGCCGGACCGAGTCATAAGATCGAGGTCGCTTCGGGGAAGGTGCCCTCGAGTTCTCGTGCATTCTGGGGACGATGTCCTCCGATGTTCTGTGCGTGTTGGCCAGCGACGGGTCTCACGTGCTTGGCTTATGGGTCGACCCCCGATGTGCACGCGGATCGCCGACAGGGGCCCGACTGGAGTCCTTGGGGTTCCTCCGGCTGTTCCCGGGCCGCCGCGGAGGTGCAGAAGGCGGCCGCCGAGGACCACCTCCGGAGTGGCGCCCGCGTTGCCGCCGACAGCGACCCTGCCCGCGCGCCGCTTCGCCGCGTTGTAGGTGTTGAAATTTTCGGCGAAGAGGCGCGACGGCGACAGCGCGCCGCGCTGGCAGGTCGGGCGGCGTTTCGCCCGTCCCCCCCGCCCAAGTGGCTTATCACCTCGGTTCCGCGGGGGCCCCCCTCAGGAGGCTGCTGCCTGCCGCAGCCGCGCACGGGCCGCCCTCGCCGCCGACGGTGCCCAGTGGGAGGGCCCTGTTGGCGCGCCTGGGCCCCCCGCGCCTATGCCTTCGGTGCTGGCGTCCCGCTACAGTGCGGGAGGCCCGCCTGCGAGGCAGGTGGGAGGAGACCTGCCGACTCTCTTGCGGGGTCTTCCTGAGGAGAAGTGGAAGTGGGTTGATCGCCCCTTCGCGACGTTGCCATTCCCGAGGTGCGTCGCTCAACAGGCGACAATGGATTCGTCGTTCTCTTTCGCCGTGCAGTGGTGGACGAGGCCCAGTGCTGCACTCAGGGTTGCGCGAGCACGCTATTACTCAGTGGAGCTGGAGCTCAAGACGTTGTCTGCTCAGGAGCTGCCGGGGCGGTGGGGGGGGGCGGGCACTAACAGGTAACAAGTTGATGTCGTGGACCTGTGGGTCCTACGTATCGTGGGCGCCGAGGATGTGTTCAACGTCTGCACCCGGTGATGCGCTAACGTGTATTCGAGCTCCCACCATTTTCTGCTGGATAATTATGCCGTGCTGCGTTCCCCCTACTTTCCCGAAGGGTCGCCCCCGCCCGCCTGTCCCTGGCCTCTTGACACTTGCGCAGTCCTTCTTCATGGCTGCTGGCACCCGTAGAGGCAGTGTTCGCTCACTTCCTGCGGGTCGCCCCCGCTGGTCCTTGCTTTTCTGCTTTTGCCGTGGTTTCCCCCCGCCAGCTGTCTTTGCAGTGCGGGCCGCGCGTTCTATCATCTTCAAGCGCTCAGTCTCTAGAGTTCGAGTCGACCCCGGATCATGTCAACCCAGGTGCGTTGTCACTGCACTCCGCTCTCTGGCTTCCAACTTCCCGCGTTCGCCGTCTTATTTTTGTCCGAACCATCCTGAAGTGTCGGGTCCTCGTTTTGAAAACATGGTCCCCGCGTTTCTCCTCCTTCCTCCCTCCCCTTCCTCCCCTTCCGCCGTCCTCCCTGATCACCCACCCAACACAGCGCTTCGTGGCCCCACAGGGAGCACCGCCGAAGCCCCCAGTTGGACCGCCTGGGTCGCATGAGTTTTGCATTTTCACCCATACAATACACACTTCGTGGCCCCATTGGGAGCTCCACCGAAGCTCCCAGTGGGACCGTCCATGACGCGTGATTATGATTTTTTCGCCCACCCAATACAGCGCTTCGTGGCCCCATAGTGAGCTCCGCCGAAGCTCCAAATGGGACCGTCCGGGACGCATGAATTTGGCACCTTGACCCACCCAGTACAGCGCTTCGTCACCTCATAGTGGGCCCCACCGAAGCCCCAGGGGGACCGTCTAGGATGCATGAGTCTGGCATTTTCACACACCCAGTACAGCGCTTCCTGGCCCCATAGGGAGCTCCACCGACGCCCCCAATGGAACCGTCCGGGTCGTCGAAATTTGGCACTTTCGCCCTCCCAGTACAGCGCTTCGTGGCCCAGAGGGAGCCCCACCGAAACCCCCATGGGATCGTCCGCGTGCGCCGCGGAAGCCCAACTAGGCATTTTCACCCGCCCAGTTCAGCGCTTCGTGGCCCCATAAGGAGCCCCACCGAAGTCCCGGTGGGACTGACTTCGTGCGTTCAGAAACCCAACTCGGCATTTTCACCCACCTAGTACAGCGCTTCGTCGCCCCATAGTGAATCCCACCGAAGCCCCAGTGGGACCGTCTAGGACGCATGAAGTTGGCATTTTCACCCACCCAGTACAGCGCTTCGTGGCCCCATAGGGAGCTCCACAGGCCCACCGACGCCCCCAATGGGACCGTCCGGGTCGTCGAAAATTGGCACTGTCGCCCTCCCAGTACAGCGCTTCGTGGCCCCATATAGGGAGTTCCACCAAAACCCCCAATGGAATCGTCCGCATGCGCCGCGGAAGCCCAATTAGGCATTTTCAGCGCTTCGTGGCCCCATCGGGAGTTCCGCCAAAGCCCCAGTCGGATCGTCCGCATGCGCCCCAGAAGCCCAATTAGGCATCCCAGCCCACCCGGTACAACGTTTCGTGGTCTCATAGGGAGCTGCACCGAAGCCCCCAGTGGGACCGTCCGCGTGCGCCCCGGAAGGCCACCCAGTACAGCGCTTCCTGGTCCCATAGGGAGCTCCACCGAAACCCACACTCGGACCGTCCGCGTGCGCCCCAGAAGCCCAATCAGGCATATTCGCGTACCAATTACGGCGCTTCGTGGCCCCATAGGGGGTTGCACCGAAGCCCACAATGCGACCGCCCGCATGCGTCCCACACGCACATTTTGGCATTTGCATCTGCCCAGTGCAGCGTGTCGTGGCTCCATAGCGAGCGCCACCGAAGCCCCCACTGCGTCCGCCCGCACGCGTGCCACACATTCAATTTGGCATTTGCACTCACGCAGTGCAGCGTTTTTTGGCCCCATAGCGAGCGTCACCGAAGCCCCCATTGCAACCGCCCGCATGCGTCCCAGAAGCCCAATTTGGCATTTTCATCTGCCCAGTACAGCGCTGCTTGACCCCATGGGGAGGTCCACCGAAGCCCCCAGTGTGACCGCCCGCGTGCGTCCCGGAAACCCAATTTGGCAATTGTCACCCGCCCAATACAACGTTCGTGGCCCCATTGCGAGCTCCACCGAAACCCCCGGTGGGACCGCCCGCATGCGCCCCACACGCCCAATTTGGCATTTTCACACACCCAGTACAACGTTTCGTGGTGACATATGGAGCTGCACCGAAGCCCCCAGTGGTACCGCTTGCATGCGCCCCCCCCCACCCAATGCAGCGCTTCGTTGCCCCATGGGGAGCTCCACCGAAGAAGATCCTCACAATTGCGGTATCCACAACTGCATATGTTTGGGTCCCTCGCCTGGATAATTTGCCTTGGTCAGGGGCACTCGCTCGCAGGAGTTGACCCCGAGAACGGTGAGACACCCATTCCGACGTACAGCAGCGCGAGACACCAAGTCCGACGTTCGGCAGCCCTTTTTCCCCTCCTCTTCCTCCCCTCATCCTCCCCCCCTCCCTCCTCATCCTCCTCCTCCTTCTCCTCCTCTTCTTCCTCCTCCTTTTCCTCCTCCTTCTGCCACGACGTGGACCGACGGCACGCACTCGAAACGCTCCTCTTCCTCCTCCTCCTCTTCCTCCTCCTCCTCCTCCTCCTCCTCCTCCTCCTCCTCCTCCTCCTCCCCCTCCTCCTCCCACTCCTCCTGCCCGTCCTCCTCCTCCTCCTCCTCATCCTCCTGCTCCTCCCCGCTCTTACATGTTCCCCTCCCCCCTCCCTTCCTTTCCTGGCAGTGGTGCACTGGAAACCACCTGTAGTCTTCCGTTCCTCCCCGCGGCGAGGTGCTGATCTACCGGCCAGGCCAGCCCCTCGAGGCCGTCAGGCATTGGGCTCCAGATTTCCGGCAGATCGCCGAGGTCGTCATCGACACCCCAGAGGCCGCGCAGGGGCGACAAGCAGAAATATTCGGGACGGACGAGGAGGAGACAGAGATCAGAGTTGGACAACATACCAATACAGTTGAGGAAGTCGATTAATGGAGAGGAAGCATGCTGCCGAATCATTTCCAGATGTCCAACCCATCTTTCAAACATGTTTTACATATGTAAACATGTTTGAACCACTTCAAGAACATGTGTTACACCTGTTAAACCTATTCTTACGATAGGATTGTTAGAGTGTCCATTGTCATGGCATCCACAACAATAAAGCTACCTCTCTCTCGTTTGCCCCTTTGGGGAGGGCCTCCTCGGAGGCCTTCGTGGCCACCGCTGGATTCGCCCCGAAATCATGGTCAGAACATACCCCCGGAGAGGTTTGGGAAGTAGCGTTGTCGGTACTTTTTTTTCTGGGTTCCCCCATCAGAGTCGTGGGAGGAAAAGACCCCGACACCGCCACTCGTCCTTGAGACCCCTCATGGGAACGTTTGGAATCTCTCCGAAATTTCCGTTCAGAGCGCATCCCCCGGCCGCGGGGATCGGCGCTATCGGTACCTTGTTGTCCCCCAAGGCCCAGGGAGGAGGAGGAGGAAGAGGAGGAGGAGGAGGAGGAGGAGGAATAGGAAGACGAGAGGGGAGAACAGATACCCTTGGGGAGGGGAGGGGAGGGCAGGTTGGGGATGGGAGGGATTGGCACGTTGGCATCCCCCGTCCCCGTATTGAGTGTTCTCCTGCTTAGTCCTGCATGTCGCCAGTCGTCGATCATCGACCGGCTTCGGTTTGCAGCGCAGAGCTTGCAATAACGAGATGGAGAACGAGTGGGGAGCGGGATGAGCAGGAGGAGGAGGTGGAGGAGGAAGAAGGAGGAGAAGGAGGAATTCGAGGAAGCGGATGAGGAGGTGGAGGACCGAAGGAGAAGGACATGAGGAGAGGACGAGGAGGCCTACGCAGGAGGAGGACGTACGAGGAGGAGGAGGCGAAGGAGGAGGAGGAGGAGGAGGAGCCAGAGGACGAGGACGAGGTCGAGGACGGGAGAGAAGGGAGGGCCAGGAGGTGGCCGACGCGTCGACAACGGGGCTGCGAGGCGGAGGCGGCGGCGCAAAGGGGCCCTCCCCGCAGGTGGGCCCCGCCGCGGAGGCGGTGCCCGAGGCGGCGCGCGCCCAGCGGAGGCAGCAGCGCAAGAGCACCGCCTCGTCGATGGAGGCGGGCGGCCGCCCCCAGCGCTCACGTCGGGCCCAACTCCTCCTCCTCCTCCTCCTCCTCCTCCTCCTCCTCCTCCTCCTCCCTTCTCCCTTCTCCTCCCTGCTCCTCCCTGCTCCTCCTCCTCCCTGCTCCTCCTCCTCCTCCCTTCTCCTCCCTTCTCCTCCTCCCTGCTCGGGGGCGGAAAAGAGGGGGGTGATGACTAGGGGGGGGGATCTCATAGCGGGGGCCATGATATTTCCCCAGATTTCATGGCGCCTCTTCTTGCTTCATTGCGTCCCTCGCCGCTGGGCCGCGCACATGCCGCCAGTCATGATCACATGCCGCTGGGCCGCGCACATGCCGCACATGCCGCCCCCAACACTTACTCGGAGCCCCGAATCATCAGGGGTAACTCGGGTTCGCTTTTCGGGATTCCGAGCCCGAGTTACAGTCGGGGCCCTGAAGAAGGAACCCTTTTGGTTGGGGAGGGGCGCTGCGTTCCTTGAGTGTTTCGCAGCTTGCCTCAGGTTTTCCTTCTGTTTTCGATCGGCAATCGAAGTTTAACTTATTGGAAAAAAGGGCCTCGTTCCTTATGTTGAGTTCCTTAGGTCAAGGCCCCGACTGTACCCCGGGCCCGAGTTACCCCGGATAACTCGGGCGTCCAGAGCCCCAAATCATCGGGGGCAATTCGGGTCAGGGCTGACTCGGGTTCATTTTTAGGGAATCCAAGCCCGCGTTACCCCGGACCCGAGTTACCCCAGATAACTTGGGCGCCCAACTTACGTCGGGCCCGTCCCTCTACAGGAGGAATGTCCAAAAATAGTAGAACAATTCTCTGGGGATTATTTTTGTTGAGCAAGTTTGGACCATTTTGGAGTCTTGTTTGAGTATTTTTTATTTTCCGTCGACAATTTGCCTGTATGGGGGACACGCCCGACCTAACTCAACGCCCCAGCGAGGGGGGGGCGTCGTCGCCGTCGACGCGACATCGACGCGACAAATCGGCGCGCGGTCGACGCTACTCATCGCCACGTCGACGCGCAGTCGACGCTGGCCGTCGCCGTCGGACACTCCAATCGACTCCAGATCGACGCGCGAACATCGACGCGAGCCGACGCCAATCGACGCTGAAGCGGCGCTGTCTCGGTGAGTGCCAGGCCCCTGATCGACGCCAGGCCCCCCACTCTCCGGGACGCCTCCGGGCGCCAGCGTTCTGCCTACAGTGCCGTTTTTTTTATCCATGCTCCGCGTGCGGATCATGTATGAAAAATGCAGGGAGTTATAAAGTACTAAAAACAGCGATGAGCTCATGCACAGAATTATTCCTAAAGTACTCATGTATCCACATTCCTATATGGTTTAAAATCCTATGTAAGAGAAGCTGCCCTGGAAGGGGACCTCCGCGGGGCCCCCCGTGCCCGGGGACGCCTCCGCCCCGGGGAGCGGGTCGAGGCCTCCTCCGGGGGGCGTGCTGCTCGCTGGAGGAGGCGCGCGGCCGGCCCCTCGGGCGCCGCCGCTCTCCCCGCCCTCCTCGCTCCTCCCGTCGGTTCGAGGTGTTCGAGGCTCTGGGGCCTCGCTCCTCCCAGGCTCGAGGTTCGAGGTTCTGGGTCCTCGCTCCTCCCAGGCTCGAGGTTCGAGGTTCTGGGGCCTCGGTCCTCCCGTCGGTTCGAGGTGTTCGAGGTTCTGGGGCGCCTTCGTGGGTCTCGGCGGCCCTCCCAGGTCTTTACGGGCAGCTGCGCCCTGCCGAAGTCGGTCCAGGGATGCCCGAAGCTTCCCGCGCGGCCGCCAGGGATGCGAGACATGGCCCGAAAGACCGACGTGTTCCGCGTGGCTGCCTCCGTCGTCGTCGATAGCCTTACCCTCCTCCTCCTCCTCTTGCGAGGGTTTTTTTTGTTTATAAGTTTCTGGGCGATGGCGCGCGTTGTGCCCCCATACCCTCCCCCCCTCTCCCTCACTTGCCCCCTCCCATAACGTAACGCCCCCCCCCTCAGTGCGTCTCCAGCACTTCCGCAGTGCCTCCGGCACCACCTCAGTCTCGGGTTTGTGGGGGCGCTACGTTATGCTCCCTCCCGCCCCCCCCCTCCTGCCCAGAACGCCCGTTGTGGCCGCGAATGAAAGAACTGCGCTGCTCACGTCCTGTTCAGGCACACTTCGATCCGATTCGATCTGGTCCGATATCGATGTCGGCCCGCTCGATCCGATTCGACTCCAGTATTCGGACCATCCGATGCGGTCCGAAGCTCGCACGACGCTGCTGTGCATCCGGGCGCGGCCGATCCGATGTCGGACTCCTTGCCGATGCAGCCCGGTCCGACGCACATTCCGATTGGATGTGATTTCCCGATTCGATGTTGGTTGATCTTTCCTCCCATTCTTCCTTTCTCCTCTCCCCTCCCTCCCCAGTAGATCTGATGTGCTGATTGTTCCAATACGTGGTACCCCGAAGTCTCGACCCACTCCTGGGGGCCGGTTCAGCATCCGGAGTAGTGTTAGAAAGTCATGGGGTACTTGCGAGGGGCTCCAGAGGCCGAACATAAAAACATCTCCGTCTTGTTGTTTTCACTGCTCTAGGCCTCCTAGATGGGGTCCGAGTAGATGGGGTCGGAGGATCGCGCGCATCGCCGATGCATCGACGATGCGGCTCCATGTGAAGCCCGTGTTTCCCCGCGCCGACGTCGCCGATGCATCGCCGACAGCGCCGATGCATCGCCGATGCATCACCCCGATACATCGGTTATGCATTGGCGATGCGGCGCGATCCCTCGACCCCATATACTCGGACACCGTCGAGGAGGCCTCTAAACGCTTTTGATCTCTGGGCCTCGTTGAGACCCCCCTCCGGCCTCGCAGCGCGAGGGCCCCCGGCGGGGTCCTTCGCGAGGTCGAGATCGAGGGCTGACTTCGCTGAGACCCCCCCCTCGGGGAGTGCGAGGGCCCCATGGGAGGGGGGCCCTCGACGATGGCAGAACCGATCCGGACGGACCACCCTCTCCTCCTCCTCCTCCTCCTCCTCCTCCTCCTCCTCCTCCTCCTCCTCCTCCTCCTCCTCCTCCTCCTCTTCCAGAGGGGGGCCCCCCCTCCGGAAGAAGCGTTGGGGGCCCCGGAGGGGGGCCCTCCATTGGGGGCGCAAGCCTGAGCTTTTGACCGCGCCAGGCTCCCCCATCCGAGAGTGCCGGGGGCCCGGGAGGGAGGGGGGGGGGGGAACCTTCACCTCCTCCTCCTCCTCCTCCTCCTCCTCCTCCTCCTCCTCCTCCTCCTCCTCCTCCTCCTCCTCCTCCTCCTCCTCCTCCCCTCCCCTCCTCCTCCTCCCCCTCCTCCTCCTCCTCCTCCTCCTCCTCCCCTCCTCCTCCTCCTCCTCCTCCTCCTCCTCCTCCTCCTCCTCCTCCTCCTCCTCCTCCTCCACGGGGTCCAGGTCTCTGCTGTCTTCCTGGAGGCCCCCCTCCCGAGGGAGCGCGAGGGGCCCGCGACGTGGGAGCCCTTCGCGTGGTCAGCGTCGGTTCCGACCCCATGGAGAGCCCCCCTCCGGGGGCGCGAGGGCCCCAGATGTGGGGGGAGTCATCGGAGTCAACAGGATATGACGAGGAGGAGGAGGAGGAGGAGGAGGAGGAATAGGACGAGGAGGAGGAGGAGGAGGAGGAGGAGGAGGAGGAGGCGGAGGCGGAGGCGGACGGGGAGGGGGAGAGGGAGATGCAAAAGGGAGGAGGACTCATCGGAGTCAACATCGGTGCTGACATCGCTGAGACCACCCGCTGGCAGCGCGGGGGTCCCCGAGGGGGGCCCCGGTGAGGTCCAAGTTCGATTGCGAGGCCTCACGGCCGGTGCCGCCGACCCTGAAGGGGGACGACGACGACGACGCCGACGACGCTGCGACCTTCACGAAGACGACGACGACGTTGAAGACGACGACGACGAAGAAGACGACGACGACGACGGCGGCGACGACGCTGCGGCGGCGTTGGCGGCGGCGACGACGACGCCGCGAACGCCATGAAGAGCACATTCGGTCAGCGCGTGGGCCCCCGCGTCCAAGTTAGAGCTCGAGTGGCGTTCTGCACCGCATCGGGCTCTCGAAGTTCGAACTCGAGTCGGGTCCTAGCTCTAAGTCGGGCGTGTCCCTCTACAGGAGGAGAATTCAAAGATAGCTAGAACAAATGACGTGGGGACGATCCTTTGACTATTGTTGGTAATTGTTGGCGTCTGTTTGAACATTTTGGTTCCCCCTAAAATCCGCCTGTGGGGGGACACGCCCGACCTAATCCTAGCTCGTGGGGACCGATGCGGTCAGGGCTCGCGGTCAGGTCTCGGGTGTGAGTTCTCACCGCTTCGGGCCCTCAGCCCCACATTGGGTTCTCAACGCCTCGCGCCCTCCAATTTGGAACTTCATTGAGTTCGAACCGCCCTGCCCCACCCCCTCCAAAGTTTGAGCTGAACTTGAGTTTTATCCTGCTCGAGCCTTCCAAGGTAGAACCCCATTTGAGTTCTATCCGCTCGGGGCACTCCAACTTAGAACTCAAAGTGGGTTCTGACCGTCCTGAGCCCTCCAAGGTAGAACTCAGCGTAAGTTTTAACGTGCAGGGCAGAAACGGTTAGAACTCGAATGCGAGTTCTCACCGCCTCGAACTCTGCAAGTTAGAACTCACATTGAGTTCTAACCGCCGCGAGTCCGCCAACCTGAAGGTTCGAGGATGTCCGAATTCAAATGTGTTCTAGCTTGGTGGTTCAAGGTGCCGGCACCGTATAGTTCAAATTTAGAGTTTCGAGGTCGCCGTGTTCGTGTTCTGACGCAAGCGCTTGCTCTTTACCTTCCGCCTCCTCCTCTCCTCTCGCTTTATGCTTGTCGCCTGTTTTGCTGGACCCACTGCTTCCGCGGACCTTTTCCCTCTGAGTGCGTAATGCTGGACAACGCTTGTGGAAACGAGTAGGGTCAAGTTCCCGATCGTTCCGCACCCTCGCGCCTCGCGTTGGCAGCTCCTCCTCTGTCTCTCGACAGTTTCCAACAGGCGAGGCGCGGGTCGGCCGACTTTGGCCACCGCGTTGTCCATTCCTTTGCCCCCCTAACTGTTTCAATTTCCGCTGCCACTCGGGACCGACCGCTGCAGCCATCGAGGTTTGAGCGCAGCGCTGGGCTGACCTGGCCGCTACGCTTGCCACAACTTTGTGCGGTACCGCATTTTGCCGCTCGACCTTGCCGCTTGCACTTCGGATCCCTCCTCTTCCCCCTCCTGGGTCAGTGGTGATCAGAGGTGACCGCACGGTTTTGGGGACATCTCGGGCGACCGGGGAGCTTTGAGACAGGGGTTCTTACAGGATCCTGCAGCGCCAGCTCGCCGGCCAGAGCGCCGGATCTTGCAGGATCCTGCAGCGCCAGGGTCGCATTGACCCGGGTTTGGGTTCAGGATCTTGCAGGCTCTTGCAGGATTTTGCAAGGCCTGACTGACCCGGGTCTGGATTGACCCGGGTCAGAAGATCCCCCAGCCTCGCCCTTCCTCGCAGGTTCGACGAGGTGGGAGATGTTCCGCCGTTTGCCGCGGGTTCCCAGAGGTGTGTGCAGCGGCTGCGCCTCGCCTGGAGCATTCCGCAGGCGCGCCCGGGTCCCGAGTGGCCGCCAGAGATTTGAGCTATCGGAGGCCCGGGGGTTGGCACCAACACCAAGATCGGCAGAGTGCCTCCACCAAGGGAAGCGGATCCCAATCTCGGTGATGGTGGTGATACTTGGGCTTCCTAGGTTTCGGATGCAACTCCTGGGAGGTCAATTTATGTTTCGCCCTGGTCCGAAATCCGGCTTAATTCGGCTTAATCTGGCTTATTTCCGCTTAGTCTGGCTTAATCCCGCTTAATCCCGCTTAATCCGGCTTACTCCCGCTTACTCCGAGGCCCACTCCGGCGTAATAGCTCCCAAATGGGGCTGAATCCTCCTTAATCTTTTCGACGAAAGCCTCACAGTAATTGCCTCCTAACTAGGTGTCCGAAGGATTGCCACCAACACCGACATCTGGGATCATCATTTTTCGGTGAGCGCAACTCCCTGTGTTGGTGTCGGTGTCCATTTCTCATTTCCAAGCCTCCAAAAACATGGCCCGAAGGCCAGACGTTGTCGTTTTGGCTTGTTCTGGGCCCCCTGGTGTGTGTGTGTGTGTGTGTGTGTGTGTGTCGTGAGCTGCGGCTCGAGAGCGCAGCCTCGCGCTGTGCAAGGAGCAGCAGGGGGTGGTGGGTTCTGGAGAGTGTTCCGCCTCTCGGGGTCCTCCCCCGGTTCTCCTCCTCCTCCTCCTCTCCCCGGGTTCTGGGGCCGTCACCAATTAAGAACGGCGCGGGATGAAGAGCCGGTCCCTGAGAAGAGGTTCCGACTCGGGGCATCCGTACTCGTGGGTTCAAGTCGACCAGCGCTTCGGCGCGCACGAGCAAAGTGCGGCCATGGGTCGCAACATTCTCCGTCCTTCGCTTCCTCCAGATGGAGGGACCAGTTTGCGGTTGGACCGAGGTATAAGATCGAGGTCGGTTCGGGGAGGGTAATTTCCTTAATGTTCTTCGTGTTTGTTGGATGCTCGTGTGCATCATGGGGGAGGGTACCCTCGAGTGATCTTGCGGTTTGCGGTGTTTTGGCCGGCGGAAGGTCTCATGTTCTTTCAGGACGTTCTTCTATAGCAGCGTCCTGGTTCAACAGGCCCCGACAGCCTTCTTGGGAGCCACGCCGCAAAGATCACGGCGTCGGTTGCCCAGGGCGGAGGAGTGAGGATGAGAGCTCTTTTTTGTCTGCCCCTCTCTCCACCACTCCTTTCTTCTCCCAGAGATCAAACGTATTGGTGGCATCAGCACGACGTGCATTTTCGTAGTGCTCGGCCTCTAGAAGGCCCTCGTCAGGCCCCAGGCTGTCACGTATCATCCCCATCCTTCCCATCCTCCCCAGTGTCCCTTTCGATCCGATCGTTCTGATTCGATATCCATGTTGGCTGGTCCGATCCTGTTCGATCTTTCCGTCCTTTCCACGCTCCGATGCAGCTCGATGTTTTGGGATGGCGTGGTTGTGCCTCTTGGCGTGGCCGATCCGATTCGATTCTCGCTCCGTGGCGGTACAGCCCGATTCGCTGCATGTTCCACTCCGAACCGATCTTGTATCTCGTAGTCCGATGTTGGCTGTTCCTGCCTTCTTCTGGTTCCTCCTCCTCCTCGTCCTCCTCGTCCTCCATCGTCATCATCAGCAGCATCATCACCATGACCTCCTCCTCCTCTCCATCCTCCGCCTCCGCTCCCCTTCCCCTGTCCTCCTCCCCCGTGCTTGCCCTCGGGTCCGCGGGGACGTGTGGGTTTCGCATCCTCGGGTGCGTCTGTTCATGGATCCACTAGCTCCGCTGGTGCCCAAGCAATCCGCGCTGAGGCGGAGGGGCGATCTTGGGACCCCTGGCTCCAAAATGCGGGGGTTCCTTTGGGGGGCCTCTGGGGGGCTTTCTTAGGGTGGGGGGTGGGGGGGGGGCGTCGTGGGGCTCTTTTGGGATTCGGGTGCCTCGGGCAGCCCTCGCACGGAAGAGGCGCGCACACGACACTTGCGCCTGTTTTTTCTACCCTCCTGTCTCCCCGCCCTCCTGCTCGTCGTCCGCGTCCTCCTGGAGGAGGAGAGGGAAAGAGGATAGGAGAGGAGAGAGGAAAGAGGAAGAGGAGGACGAGACAAGGGATGAGGAGGAGGAGGAGGAGGAGGATAAGGAAGAGGAGGAAGAGGAGGAAAGAAGAAGGAGAGAGAGGAGGAGGAGGGGCGAGCGGAGGAGGAGGAGGAGAGAGGAGGAGATTGAGGGATCCTCCTCCCCCCCCCCCCTGCGCCCGCGGAGGTGCTCGCCAAGGGCGGCGACGCCAAGGCCGCCCGCACGGAGCGGCTGGAGAAGCAGGCGCCCCGCGGGGAGCGGAGGAGCTCCCGAGCGACGAGCGCACAGCCCGCCCGCGAGAAGGGCCCGCCCAGCCCCTTCTCCTCCTCCTTCCTCCCTCCTCCTCCCTCCTCCTCCTCCTCCTCCTCCTCCTCCTCCTCCTCCTCCTCCTCCTCCTCCTCCTCCTCCTCCTCCTCCTCCCTCTCCTCCCTCTCCTCCCACGCGGTCGCCGCGGGTGAGGGGCCGCCCGCCCCCCCAAAGGGTCACGAGGGCCCCGAAGTGGCCCTCGAGACGGCCCGGCCAGTCCATCATGGAGGGCCCCCGTCGGCCTTGTGAGAAGGGCCCGCCCGGCCCCACCCGGTCGCCGCGGGTGAGGGCCCGCCCGCCCCCCCAAAGGGCCACGAGGGCCCCGAAGTGACCCTCGAGATGGCCTGACCAGTCCATCACGGAGGGCCCCCGTCGGCCCTGCCAGTGGCCGCCGGAGCATGCCCAGAAGGCCCCTTGGGGAGCGGAGGAGTCCGAGCTAGCTGTTCAGTGAGGAGGGTGTTCTGTTGCCTTCTGGGCCAGCGCCCGCGCGTTTTGCCCCCTCCCCCCCCCTTCTCCCCCCTTAACATAAGGGTCCCCCCCTCAGTGCGTCCCCGGCGCTGCCGCGGTGCGTCCAGCACCACAGTCTTGAGGGGCGTGACGTGCTGCCCCTCTCGTCCCCCTCGCGCGGCGCCACTGCTGCTGCCGCTGCCCCGCGTGTCGGAGAACGAGACGTGCGCCGCGCCCAGGCGGGAACGCCACGCCCAAGCGACACGTGCATGCATGTTTCGGGCGAAGGCGACGTGTCGCCCGCTCGCACGGGGCCCCAAACTTTGGCGTTGGGGCGGGAACGCCATTTTACAGCGACATCTGCGCGACGCCAAGGCGCGGGCGACATTTGCGGCCACTCGTGTGCCGATGACTTGGCGTGCGGGAAGTTTGCGCCGCGCGTGAGCGGGAACCGGATTCTTCCTCTGTTCAATGAGCGCGGCGCCGGGACGAGAGCGGCAGTTCGCCACTTCGCGCGGGATGTGCGCCCCGTCCCGTGTGTGTCACGCGTTTTGCGACGTGGACGGCAGAACGTCCATGTCGAGAGCAGCACTATTGGTTGCGTATTGCTTTCAACCGGTGGGAGGGACCATCCCGGATGGGCGTGCTATCGGCGGGCCTGGTGGCAGGGTGTGAGCATGTTTTAACACAAGGGGTACCGACTAAACACCAGGAACATGAGAGATATAAGCGAAAGCGGGACAACTATAAGAGCAGAAACAGGGAAAGCTAAAGACAGAGAGAGAGGGAGAGACGGACAACGGAAGCTGGAGGTAGGCGGAGGGCAGCGAAGGAAGGAAGTGGGCGTCAGAGGTGGTGGGAGAGAAGGGGAGGCGCAGGGGGGGAGGGGCGGCAGGGCAGGCGACGAGGGGCAGGAAGAGCGGGGGGGGATGGAAGAAGAGGAATGGGACAGTGGTCCTTGAAGGGTGTGTGTGCAAGAGGGCGGCCCGGAGGTGTTGAAGGGCGCAGCGCGGCTCATCGTGGAGCACAAGCATGAGCTCTTCAGCTACTGGGAGGAGCCTTGGGGCGGTCTAGCGCATGCTGGTTGGCACCGCGTGGGGAGGGATGGACGAGAAAGGGGGGGGGGAGCGGAGGGAGGAAACATGTAACGGGAGAGGGGGAGAGGGGGAGAGAGCAGGAGGCGAAGCGGGCGAGTGGGGCGATGTGAGGGATTACGAGTGACGGGGGAGGCAGGAGCAGGGAGAGGAGGAGGAGGAGGAGGAGGCGGGGGAGGAGCGGCAGAAGGAGGAAGAGGCACAGCATGAGGAGTAGTAGTAATAGGAGGAGGGGGGGGAGGAGGAGGAGGCAGAAGATGGTGAGGAAGAGGAGGAGGAGGAGGAGAAACAGGAGGAGGAGGAGGAGGAAGAGGAGGAGGAGGTGGAGGAGCAGGGGAGGGAGGTGGGGGAGGGCCTTGAGGCCTGCAGATGCTCAAAAAGGATCAAACACGTAAAACAAACTTGGTCATCGATCCTCGGCGAGGAACAGCATCAGGAGGATGCGGGATTCGGAGGCAGGCGTTAACGCCGCCCGCCCATCCCGGCCCACCGCCCGTGGTGCGCTCCGCGCGCCAGGGGAGGCTGGGTCCCGCGCTGACCTACGAGATCCGTCAAGATATCTGAATATTGGTGAGTTGTTGTGTTCGTGCTGTTCTGTTCCTCAACTTCGTTCGTCAGTGGCTGCTCGGATGTTTCTGATTTGCCAATCAAGTCGATACTTCGAGCAGGGACCATCCGTTGTAGAGGCCAGCGACCAGAGTGAGGCGGCGATCGCTGCCTCGGGCAAGCATCCCCTCGAAGGCAGATCTTCCCGATCCTCTTGTCCTTTCGCCCCCTCCCTTGTACCCGCCCGCTATGTCCATGCTCCGTCTCCATGGGTATCCAGGTCCACTACTGGAGAGCCATACCAAGAAACATCCTGCTTGCCTCCAGGGTGCCCTGAGTTTCTTGGGTTTTGATGGTTTTTCTATGGAAAGTGAGAGCGATGTCTATATCCACATCCATTGCGTCTTGGAGTTCCGGGCTCTTTTCCCAAGAAACAGGAGGCGCACTGGATATGCATCAACATCTGGCTCTACAACGTTCGATGTTTATCCATATCCAGTGCGCCTCGGCCTTGCGGCGCCCCTTCAACAAAGTCTAAGACACATGGGAAATGGATATAAGTACTGCCCGCAGAAAGCATGACGTTCCCACACCAAGAATCGATGGACGTCCTGGGGTCTCAGGGTTGGGTTTCTCGTGGAAGGCTTCTGGTGGACTGGCCTCCACTGTATGGCTCGGGCGCACCTCGCCTGTCCCGTCCTCTCCCCTCTCCTTCCCCTCGCCCCCTCCCCACTCCTGCTGCGCTTTCCACTGCGCCGTCTTCCCTCGTCTCTCAACTCTTCCTCCCACTCCTTCCCCCGCGCACCCGCCCCGCTTGCATCCCCTCCTCCCAGTCCTCTCAAACCCTCAACTCCCCCCTCTCTCAACCCCCCAGTCCTTCTTCTCCGCCAGGCCCCTGCCCAGTCCAGGATGGGGAGGAGGAGGAGGAGGAGGAGGAGGATCATTTGGATGAGGGGGGGCCAGGGTCGGGCGGTGCTCGGACGAGGATCAAATCCAGTCCAGGGCGTTCCGGAACGCCCTCAGAGCGGTCCAGGACGCTCTGAGAAGGCCGTGGCGCCCGAGACATCCTCCAGAGCCGGCGGGTATCAGAGATTCTCAATCTAGTTTCACCCGAATTGATCCTCGCCCTGGCGTCGTCTGGAGGAGAGGGGAGGGTGGGAGGTGGCGTCGGAGGAGGAGGCCGGGGCGAGGAGCGGCGCCGGAGGAGGAGGTCGCAGCGAGGAGCGGCGTCGGAGGAGGAGGTCGCAGCGAGGAGGTGGCGTCGGGGGAGGGCGGCGCGGCGCGCAGAGGTGCGCGGGGCGAGGTGCGAGGGGTTGGCGCCCGAGGTTTCTGCCGGTTGGGGGAACCTTGCAATGCCTCGCAGCCCATCACAAAGCGTGGGGATGGGGCTATAAAAGCCCTCGAGTACAGTAGACTCCCCCCTGGGTAGAAAGAGTGGTCCCGGCCAGGTGATCTGGAGCCCCCCCGAGAGGTGATCACGTAAGCGGCACGGCCACAGCGCTACCTGTCAGAGGATCGATGCGCATGGATCGGTAAGCGGCAAGCGGCGGGGCGCTCGGGGGCGGCGAAGCGAGGAGGAGGAGGACTTGGCATCGCTCGGACGTGTGCATTGCTTCTCGGCGAGAACCATCGAGAGCCCTCCTGGACCATCGAGCAGCAAAAAACAACACAACAAGCACGCACGAGGCCGACACGTGCACGGGAAAGATGGGCGTCCGGGCGACGGCACAAGAGGAGGGCCCCGCGCCGCGGCAGGACTGCGACACCACCTCCCCCGGCTTCATCTCGGCGGCGAGCCTCGTGGGGGGGAGGCGATCGGGGGCGGCGAAGAGGGGGGTGATGACTATCACCCTAGGCGATGCTTAAGAAAACTTGAGTTTTCGGCGCGAGTTGATGATTCTTAACGTTTGAATGTAAATCCTAAGATTTCGATAGACGTTATGTTTTTTTTCAAATTCTGAGACTCTGAGTTTCTTAACCCATGATTTCTTAAGCATTTCGCAGGGTGTAGGGGGGGATCTCATGGCGGGGGGCATGATATTTCCTGAGATTTCATGGCGCCTCTTCTCACTTCATTACGTCCCTGGTCCCCCCGCTGGGCCGCGCACATGCCGCCGGTCATGATTTGCGCCCCCCCCCCTCTTGCACACCCCCATCCTTGCCGCTCCCGAGAAGCGAGAAGGGGCGGGCCTTCTCAGAGACCAGGCCTCCGAAATGGGGTCGGAGTAGATGGGGTCGGAGGATCGCGCCGCTTCGCCGATTGATCGCTGATGCGGCTCGGTGTGGAGCCTGTGCTTCCCGACGCCGACGTCGCCGGTGCATCGCCGACGTCGCCGACGCATCGTCGACACATAGGCGATGCATTGGCGATGCGGCGCGATCCTTCGACCCCATCTACTCCGACCCCATCTAGGAGGCCTCTACAGGAGGCTCCGAAGTCCCCTGGCCTTCTGAGAAGTGTTCGAAGCCCTCCCCGAAGGCACCCCTCCCCGAAGGCCACGGCGCTTCGAAGAAGCCCCGCCGCCTTCTGAGAAGGCCTGCTCCTTCCCACTTCCTCCCCTCGCTCGCCGCCGACCATCACGAAGCAGGACTGGGTCGAGGGCATGGAGGCCCCACGGCTTCTGCGCGGGACGGGGCGGGGTCGCAGAGCAGCACCGTGGCATAGACATAAACTCTCGGCGGTCCGCGCGGATCTCTTGGACCTGTGCCGGACGGCTTTCCCTTGGACCTGCGCTGGGCCCCCCTGCCGCGCGCCAGGGAGGGGGGCCCAGCGCAGGTCCAAGAAATCCGTGCGGACGGTCCAACGTTTGTGTCATGCCGTTCTTTGTTCCGTTCGGGGGGGGGACAAAAGGCACTCCTCCTTCCTCTTGTTCCTCCTCCCCTCCTGCTTCCTCCTCGTCCTCCCTCTGCTTCGTGCGCGTTCGCGCCAACTCCTCCGAGCTGCAGAGGAGGAGAATGGGGATGCGGAGGGTGATGATTTGTGCCCGCTGCAGCGCAGGTTGGGGCAGCAGGCGTCCTGGTGCTCGCGGCGCTCGCGGGCGGCAATGCCCAGGAGGACGAGGAGGAAACAACTGCCAAACGGTTGCGCTCGGTGGGCCCAAATGCCCAAAGTCAATGTGCTCGTCCGGTGAGCTCACGGCTGCCATCCCGCTGCAAGCACTGCTGCGCTCGGCGAGTTCGCCGCCGCCATCTCGCTGCACAAAGACTGCCGCGGGCACACGAGCGACGCAGAAAGAAGGGGTCGTCTGCACCGGCACTGGC